GCCAAGCAGTCAGGGACATAATGAAGAGTTTTTGCGACCATGGCTGTCCAAGCAGTTCCCACAGTGGAAAATTGTCCCTCTTGTATTAAACAGTGTCCTACAATAATTGTTTCCTTTTAACAATTACAAAATTAGTATTTTTTTATCATTTATTTAAAGAAACATCAACTTCAAACAGTTGGAAAGGCATCACTTTAGATCATCACCACATTTTTCAAGACAATTCGCAAAGCAATTTATTTTCACTGCCAAGAAAAATATGTATATATTGTGACTTCATTAGTAAATCTATTCACTTGAGAAAATTCCATGTCTCAGTTATACACGCAACGACTTGTTTTTGTGCAAACCCTCTCCCATTGCATCATACATTGTGCATTCTACGTCGACTGCACTCAAGGTTTTGCTTTGCCGTCCATGAGGGACTTGTGGCAGGATGTGGAAAACCCTGTATAAAATAAGATCTGGAGTATTAGTACCCAGAGGTGAAACATTTCGCCCGACCACATTGCTGGCACAGTAAAGCTGCATTTCTAAAAAGACTGGCAAACTCGTAATATTCACAAATTGGTCCCATTGAAACCCTTGTTTTTTAAAAGGCTTAAGAAGAAATTGAAACACACTAAGTATCCCTCCACCTATTGGAAATAAATAGGCTCAATTCTTCAGGGAGAGAGAAGGGAAATTAAGCTTAAGTGTGTGTCTGATTTTGAAGCACACAGAGGAGGTGTAAAGGGAACAATTTTGTGTCATTTAGAAACTCACTTGAGACAATTTACACTTGTTGGCACTTTAAATGAAGATAAAAACCTTCAATTGCCAAATGTGTTATAGGTGAGATCAAAACAAAGGAAAGGAATAAACAAAATAGAGGCACCAAAAAGTCAACTAACTCTCTGCTGAAAATGAAGCAAGAATAAAGAAAAGTGACCTTCATATATTTAAATCCACGTAAAAGGTACATACAAGGAAAGTACCCACCTGTGCAGTTGGAAAAAGAAAGCATGAAAAATCATTGGCCCAAAAAGCAAAGGAAATAATAATATCAGGAAATATCTTTCTTTGAGAGGGGTTTCCAAAACCTTTGATGATCTAAACTCCTCCTCATCAAAGCCTTGAAGGCATTACAATTTTAAAAGCTTTTTTAAAATGCTGGAAGAAAAGAGAAAAATAGAGCAATAGTGCCTTTCATGCATGTCAATCACTCGTATTATTCTATCATGAACTGAGCTCATATAACATTGCTGAAACTTTTGGGGCACCCTACTGAAAAAAATGAAAAGAAGAAATGATGGCAAAAAGAAGAAGATCACCCATGATGTGGCTGCAAGTCGGAAGGGCAGCTATTTGAACCATCGCGCTGCCAAAAACTGTGCCTTTGGTGCTATATTTCAATAAAGTGCTGTAAATTACGTTACTTTTCTTGTAAACACCACTCAGTTCTCTTGTATGATAAACATGTCAGAGAAAACATCAGAGAACTGAGAAAATCAACCAACAGGAACGTTCCGAAGGTACTTGAGGCACCGATTGATGCCTGCACCTTGATGTTTGCATGTCCTCCCCCGTGTCTGCGTGGATTCTCCCCGGGTACTCTGGCTTCCTCCCACGGCCCCAAACACATGCTGTGGGGGGTTTAGGGTCAATTGGTGACTCTAAATTGCATACAGGTGTGTGAATGGTTGTTTGTCTCCACGTCAGCCCTGAGATGGATTGTGGACCAGTCCAGGGTGAACCCCTCCCCTCCCCCGGATGACTAGAGCCCCCGCGAGCCCCTAAGGATGAACTGTATAGAAGACGACTGACGGACAAGAACAGGGTATAGAGTAACGTATGGGGCCTAACTTACAACAGCATATCCCATTTGAGAGAATTTACTTGACAGTGTGGGCAAACAGCATTTGAATGGGGAAGTATACAAGTGAGGGAGGACGAGAGAGGAATGGAGAGGAACAAGGAGAAAGGAGAGAGGAACAGAGAGACGCGGGGAACAACAACAAGAAAATAACGGCTCCACTAAGGGTTTCATTTCTTTTTTTCAAATTGGCAGCTTCAAAAGAATATAAATAATTGAACACCCTCACCCCATCACTGGGTTCTGGCCAATTACTATTAGAAGTACTTTGCCAAGAATGCTACTGTTGAGACCTCAGAAAGGCCAAAAGAAAGAAGGAAGAAATGACAGTGAGGTACAAAGCCAGAAAGAATGCTGACCAGTAATGTCTTGCAGTACAAAAAGTTTACCTGCCTGCCTGCCTGCCTGTCTGTCTGTGCACTCTACATGTGCACACACCGTGAGAATTATATAAGTAAATATTTATTTTCCCTGTGTGCACTGTTTTAAATGCAGGAAACTGCATTCCATGTCAACTCTGTCCCTAAAAAATATACAAATATTACACATTAACACAAATACGATGGAGGTTTTCTTACTCAATGAAATCATGGCCATTTAGTAACACTTGTACAAATGCGTAGCTTCTACTGTGTACAAATGTCATGCAATTATGCAGACGAACGTAGACACACACACACAGGCAACAAAGCATTATTAAGGTTTGAGTTAGCAGGATTTATCGTGACATCTTTCTATCTCTTTTGATTAAAATGTCTCCTTCTGACTGATTTATTGTGTTGAAATGGAGGATGGTGGGGCAGAGAGAGAGAGAGAGAGAGTGCGCGCCAGGGATGACATCATGTTTTCAGCTGGCGTTTCTTTCTGAAAAAGGTTGGCATCCACTGTGTGTGGGTGTCTGCATGAGTGTGAGAAGGAGAAAGCGTTGCTACAAAGTGGGGGGTCTGTATCTTTGTCCCCTCCCCCCCAGGCCCCTCGGTCCACCTGGTGGGTAATTGGACAACTGCACCAGCGGGATGTGAGAGTGTGTGTGTGTGTGTGCATGGGAAAGACTAAAAGAGCAACAAAAAAGAAAGAAATTGGTGAACAGGAGGGGAGAGGACACCTTTTTTTTTTTTTTTTAAAGGGCGAGAAAAAGGCGAAGAAACGAGCTACTAGGAGATAGAGGCTTGGTGGAGCTCGATAAAAAACGGGGAACATATCCACAGGCGGAGCAGACAAAGACTGGCAGCTACTGACAGATGGGGAGAGTGCCCTGCTGTTAGTGTATTTGTATGTGTGTGTGTGTGTGTGTGTGTGTACGTGTGAGAGAGAGAGGAGTGGGAGGTAATCTCCATCAAAGATGAAGCCGACTGCACTGAATGGCATTTAAACAAGAGTGAGCAAACAGAGTCCATGAAACATTTCAAGTGGAGGAAAAAAGAAAACATCCTGAAGGAGAAGAACATGCAGCAAACTGCCTTCGTGTGCAACACGTTCAGATACGGAGCTTTTGCACCTTCGCTTTCATTTTTGGGAATATCAGTCTCACTCTCAGCGAGACAGAGAAGGCAAAAAGGAAGGGAACAAAGACAACTGTTTGACATCTGTCTGAGTGCAATTGCAGATGTTTTCAGAAAGATACTGAAATTATACTAGCAGACACTCAAAGCACCATGCAATCAAGAGCCGACAGCTCTGGTGCAACATGAGAAAAATCAAGTCCTCGTCGAAATATCTTGAACTGGAGAGAATAGACTCACCGAGTATCAGAAACTCAAGACAAAAGAAAAGAGTGGGAATAGGAAGAAGAATGCATTCACCTCGTCAATGACCTACAACAGAAAAATGACTGCATGGCTGAACCTCCACAAAAGTTTGGTTACCGCAAAAAGACGGTGGAGGAGTATGCCTAAGCTGTCACAGCCACCGAGGGCCATTTTAAGCCATTTTTTTGTCTCTGCTTATATCTTACTAATTTCATTATGATTTTGCAGACTCAGTTTTTGCTAATCGTTCCATTTCAAATATACAGTAACTTCTCGTGTTTTGCTAATTTGTATGGACATAAAGGATGTACCTGTCCCTCTTACGGAAGGCACTCATTAAAATTCACTTGTTATTTAACTGCTATATGAAGACACATGAATTAGAACTAGTGTATCCAGCCGCCTCTACCCAATTATTGTGACTTTTTCAGAGTTCCACTGACAGAAACAAGGGGGATAATAAGATTAGATGCAATCGAAATGAGACAAGGTCATAGCTCAGTCTCTTCTACGAAACAAAAACACACAGGCAAAAAAACACTCGGGGGAATTTGCACACATTTACTCGTTGCATAAACTTGACACTGAACCACTCCTATAGACACTGATCTACAGACATTCATGGATAGTTCTAACAAACACACCTACATGCGCGCACACACGCGCGAGAAGGATCTACAAACAATGAAACCCAAGGGAGAGCTTCCCCACTTCGCCATCACTCTTGTTCCATTTCTCTGCAGAGCCTCCTCTTGCTTTGTTTCTTTAATGCTGCTCTAAGCCCATCTTAACAGAGAAATGGTGCAGAACAAATCCTAAGCAGGAGTTGACAGGGCGGGATAAGAGACGCTCCTCTGTTACTAACGTGGGAAGTTTACAACGGACAACGTATACAGATGGGAATCGTGATTTAATGTTCTACTGTTTGGAGACATCCATGATTTTAAAATGCCGGCCTGGTGCTGATCTGCATCACGGAATAAAATCTATTCAACAGCTTCAGTACCATACAAACAATATTGCGTAAGACTGGTGGTTACTCTTGCAAGCTCAACCTCTTGATGTTCTAGTGAGAATAACACAAACAGCATACCTTTTGGTGGATGAAGATCCCCCCCCCTTTCCAAGATAAGACATCAAAAATTGAAACATGCCTTACAGGCTCGTACATGCTCACCAAAGGCAAACGCAAAAGGACAACATCAAAAAGCAGCTGAAGAACCTTGGTAGAAGGTACACTGGTGTGCCAACGCTTTATTTACTTGCCATCCTCCACCTTTGAGCGATGTTCCGACCCGTCCGTCAGATACGAACGATGGACCTCAAAAGGGGCAACACGTGAGACGTGCTGAGAAGCGCTCGACGCTAGCAAGGCTTGTTGGCGTCTTGATACTTACATAAGGCTTGGGAGCTGCTGAGCAGCAGCGATAGCAGCACAGTGGCGACAGGCAGCAGGAGAGGCAAGGAGAGGCGAGGAGCACCGCTGGTGGCCATCTTGGCTTCGGTAAGGGATGGGTGGGGGGGGGCGGGGTGGGACCGGTCTTAGACCCGGCCTCAGGGCCGAGGACCGGACTGGAAGGTCGGGAAGGTCTTCGCTCAGGACGGCTTGGCACTCTGGGGAAAAAAAACAGGCGGGGGACAAAAATGAGTAACTGTATTTAAAAAAGGAGGGAATGTAAACACTTCATTAAATGAAACTTTAAACGCTCCCAAAATATAGAGACTATGTGTGTGAGCATCGACACGGCCACCGGCCGAGAAAGGGTAAAGGTTCAACCAACGTGGTCACAACACTCTTTCAACGACTCGTGATAAAAACATGCTAGGTCATTGAGCTTTTCACAACACCATTGCTGGTGACACATAGATGAGAGTAATAGAGTGGAAGCAAAGTGTCACGCAGCTCAAGCCCTGTAACCTCCCTATCTCTCAACTGGCATCCACCCACATCCCTTAATTAGCAGAGGAGTCACTGTTTTGTCTTTTTTTTTTTTTCCTTCCTAATCGCAGGATTTGGTCGTTATTTGCTTATCTCATTCCCTTGTAATTACACAACGACCCAATGATATTCTAGGCAGCGTCTCTTTGTTTTAGTCAAATTGCCATTAATCCCCCAAGCTGCACGGGAGGGCTACGAACGCCTCCCACCTCTCACACACACACACACACACACACACACACACACACACACAACTACGCACGTGGCATTTTGATCTCATTGATATGTCTAGCGCAGCATCGCGCCTCCACCAAGTGGTTATACATATTCTTTAATTAAATAGACGTGAATAAAGAGACAAGGAGAAGAAAGAAGTGAGCGATCCATGACACAAATATATAATGAGATTGTCAGTTTCTCAAAAAAAAAGCAATGTCTGTGCCAGCAATAAAGCTGTAGAGACAAAACTGTTTTGTCTCAGGGGATCCAGATGTCAGGAGCCAGGTTCAAGCCCATGTGTCAGCATGTGATCTGCTTTAGCGTCCTTGTGCAAGACACTAAACTCCTCTCAGCTGCAGGGACGCTACTACACAGCTGAGCCCACAGGAGTGGTGAGGGTGCCTCTTTGGAAGTGAGATTAACTGCCTGCACACCGGGTGGTTAACAGGGTGCTATATAGTATAAACTGTGCAGCTCATCGTAGGTGGCCTGAAAAAGTGTAACCTTCATTTAAGGTAATATTCTGTCAACACAGTGAAAAAGTCACATTCAAACTTTCCCTGAATGCTAAATAATATCTATGTCTGCTTACCGGCAAGTGGTTTTTGACAAGAGAAAGTCAACTTTAGAGGCAAATGATTCCAATGAAATGTATAATGTAAAAAAATAAAATAATGATGATAAGAAAAGTAGATCACATTACTCAAAAAACAAATCATTATGTCTGCCATGTCAGGGTGCCACGTGGTCAGAGGAGCTGAAACATTTGTGCTCGTGCCTTGGGAGAGAGGCAGACGACCCACAGCTAATTGCAGCGTAACCCAAGCACCTCAGACAGCTGCAGATGCAAGCCTCGGCTCTCTCGCAGTCACTGGACCAGGCGCCTCACTGACGCAATGAAACCGACGACACATGCAGAGGCAGGCACGCTTAGAAATTAAACTACAAGTGCTTTGCCGCAAACCCATTCATGTCACAAACGCGTACTGTACAGCGATAGTGTACACAGAGTGTATAGCCTCTGAAACATGCAGACATTGGAGAACACGCGCACACACACGCACACACACACACACACACACACACACACACTCACTGAAACCCAAAGGGATAGATCAACAAAAGGTATTTTAACTCTGTGCCAAGAAAAAAAGTGGGTGTCTTTCAGAAGCTCATCTCATCTTTCAACACAATACTATACACACACGACCAACGTGTGGGTCCTCGCTTTATATATATATATATATATATTTATATATATACACATTGTTTTCCTTTTCTTGGCCTGGAGGGCAAGTAATGTCAGTGTTTAGAACTGAAAGGAAATGCAGAAACGTGAATAGAGCGAGTGTGGGAGTTTCACATTATCTATAGGCCTGTGAATGAGGCCCCTATTGTTGGGACTGTAAACATTGGTGGAGGTAGCAGGAATCTTGTCATGCCTGTAGGGAATTACTCTATCTATCCTGCCAAAGTGCCTAGGTTATGATTTATGGCCCTCCCTTTAGGGCACAGTGCTCTATCTACACCTCTGCTTGCTATACAGACCTCACAACACAATTACAACAGCCATTGTTGTTGAATGGCTTTGCCTAACATGACCTATAGGGACAAGTTTGGGCTTTGGTTTAACCGCAGACACGGTCTACAAAGCTCACGGCTGCCGTTTCTGAACTGTAAACAGCTAAAATAAGACGTTTGGTCTGAAAGATACAGGTGCCAATATATGGTCTTCATTAATACCTGAGGGATTGGGTAAGCTAAAGTATTATATAGGTGAACTTGTAACCTTGCTATTAGCATGTGCATGGGAAAAGTTGTCAACCCTTGCAAAAATATTTCCACACTTTGCCTTTTGAAATGGGAAGTATTGAGCGTTCTTGCAGCAGAGACTCCAATCGATTACATATTACATACATACTCAGCGGTTTCCAAATTATAGGTTGTAATTTGGAGGAAACCGCTCATTGTCATGTTTTCGCAGATTTCAATGTGACAAGGACATCCGCAACAATAAAATGTAGCTATTTGGGAACTGTTGTTTTTACTTCATCCACTCCAGCTCCAGCTATTAACCAGTCGCCATGCTTCAATATTTGCAGGCAATACAGCAGCACAATTTCCACTGAGTAGCGGCAGTCAATGGAAATCAGGGACTCTCCCTTTGACATGGGCAAGCTTTAAATTCAGCTTGTTTCCCTGTGCAATATTGATACTAATGCATTTGATTATTGAGATTTTGAAAAGCAGCAAAGGGAAGGGTAACACCTACACACACTTACCTCATGCCATAATGGGCAAAAAAAAGAAGTGAAGAAGTGAATTGAGGTACACATACCTATATACGACCATGGTGGTTCTCATTTTAAGACACTGTGCAGTTTACATCAACTCATAGTCACTGTACTGTTAGAAACACACACACACACACACACACACACACTGCAAAGATGCAGAGTTGTATTAACAAGGAAAAAACAACTATGACCGGAGGGACCACATTAATAATCCCTTTTATGAGGTGAACAATAAGCTCACTTCACACACACACACACAGTTAAAAAGCCCCCAGTTTGGTAGGGCTTGATCATCAAAACAGCCTGTTTGATGTGTAGAACTTCAAAAAGAATGTTATTTCTCCATTTGTCTCGTCCCAAAGAAGATGTTGTCTTTCTGCAGGGGTACGTTGTCGTGCGTAGTTTGGTTTCTGCAATGTGTCAACAACACCACTGTTTGGCTACAGGATTGTTTACAATACGTCCAAAGCCTTCTCGCTTAAGCAATATTCACCAGACGAGTAGTATTAAGAAATATTATTTTTATCAAGGCCAAATGGTTCATGTACAATGATCTCAGAGATATTTATTTCATTTCTTCCTATTGAAATATGATTTAAGGCCACTATTGAAAAAACATCAGTGATCTTCTACAATAACTTTGCCTTTTAATAAAACCTGGGCAACATCTTTAAGGGACTCAAATGACTTTAAGAGGGTACACATTATCAAATAAAATAAAGAGTGTTTGTGAATGTCAGATGACAATAGAGAAATCCGTATTATCCATCTTTGTGCGTACTCTTGTCACCATCGTTGCTGCTGTATCAGAATATTTCCCCCCTGCAGTATTGCTAAGGTAACTATTGTTTTCTTTGATTGATTCTTTGGTTTGATCAGTTGATGGTTAAATGTGAACTGCCCAAAACTCATGGACAACATGAAACATTTACTAGCACCAAAAACATATTAATAATAAGAAACCCTTTCTCTCATTGTTTTTTGATTTTAAAGAGAACAAGGCTCGTGTACGACTGACTGGAATGAGCCAGTATATTGAGCTGTTTTCTGTTATAATAATGGAAAAATACTCATTTTCAAGCAAATCCCACCTTTTTCACGGCCCTACTTGAACTGATTTTTTGGTGTTTGTGTTCAGCCTCTACCGCTGTCTCTGCCTCTGAAGGCTTTTACCTTGGATTATGCTTTTTTACGTTTCAGCTCAGAGTTACAGACTTTTACATCAACCACTTTACTGCCTATCAGTGATTCCTAGCCTACCTTCCTACCGAAGGACTTTGTGTGTGTCCATGTGTGTTCTGATGCTTATTTGATGTGTCTCATAGGTCAGTGTTGTGCATTTGTGCCGCTGCGAATAATTTGGCCATTACAGATGTATAATATATGTATGAAACATGCACATATTTATGCATATGTATATATGTACACACGCATATAGTATGTATAGTTGATTTTATCGTTTTTATTTGTGCATTTGGCATTTAAGAATGTTATGATTTAGAGTGAACTTATTAATGTGCCTCTACATTTATTCATATGTGTCTTGGGAGTAAGCGGAGATATACCCAGACACACATGCACACCCCTCAACCTCAGCAATAAAACAAGTCTATAGCAACCATCTGTTTTTCACCATGCTGAAATCCTAACGGTATTGATTCCATGTGTCTTTATTAAGGTCACCCTCTTTCTCGCTCTACCATTGTAGCTTTCTACATCCCAATATTGGCTACATCTTGAGGGAAAAATCGACCATGAGGGGAAGAAAAGCAACAGGGAAAATAAACCTGGTTTACACTGTCTATGATACCTTCAAGCTGCATATTTGGTGAGAGACAGAGAGGCTGTGAGGTATAGGTGTGTGTTCTTGTGCAAGGGAAGGTGTGTTTAGTTTCCAAATGCATCCAACTGATCAAACTAGTCATCCTTCAAATCCTTCATTTCTTTCTTTTTTTTTGTCCACCATCTAACCCTGTCCCCTAATCACCCTCATTTCCTCTCTCCCCTTTCCTTCTCCTCTCAAACTCAGGCATACTAAACTATTCTTGCCATGCAGATGTTCGGTAGGGAATCACAGGCATTTGCAGGGAACTGCAGGACTATTATGTAAATGCCCCAGGGGGTATCTACCTCCCAGCTTCACTCTTTTGTTGCCAGCC